TTGCTTTTCTGTGGGTTCAATGATTTTGCTTGCTTCCCTCGCATGCTTTTACCACTTGAAAAAGAGAGAAAAATATCATGACCGCTCGTTGAAGGAAGAATCTTGGGACTTGAAATCTTTCCATGTATTAACCTTCACCGAGGATGAGATTCTTGATTCAATTAAACAAGAGAATCTGATAGGAAAAGGAGGGTCCGGCAACGTGTACAGAGTGGCCCTAGCCAATGGCAAAGAACTAGCAGTGAAGCATATTTGGACTGCAAATTCTACTAGCACTAAGAAGAGCAGGAGCACTACACCAATTTTGGGAAAAGAGGCAGGAAAATCTAAGGAATTTGATGCAGAGGTGGAGACCTTGAGCTCAATTAGGCATGTCAACGTGGTGAAGTTGTATTGCAGCATTACCAGTGAGGATTCAAGCCTTTTGGTCTATGAGTATATGCCAAATGGGAGCTTATGGGACCGATTGCATGCATCAAGGAAGATGGAGCTTGATTGGCAGACGAGGTACGAGATTGCTGTGGGGGCAGCTAAGGGTTTGGAGTATCTACATCATGGGTGTGATAGACCCATAATTCACCGCGATGTGAAGTCTAGCAACATTTTATTGGATGAGTTATTCAAGCCTAGAATTGCTGATTTTGGACTTGCTAAGATGATTCAAGCCAGTGGTGGCAAGGACTCCACCCAAGTCATTGCAGGAACCCATGGTTATATAGCTCCTGGTAAGTAAATTATGCTCTTTACTTCGATTTTTTTCGTAGTTTTGTTCATGGGAAGATATGTAGGTATTATCTCTTTAAACTCCCCGTGTCAAGTGGCTAATTGAAGCATCATGGAATTGTGGCTTGTTTGGCATTTCATTTTAGCTTCAAATCCAGTTAATTGAACATAGATACGTTTTGATTTTGCAGAATATGGGTATACATACAAAGTGAACGAGAAGAGTGATGTGTATAGCTTTGGAGTGGTGCTAATGGAGCTGGTGAGTGGAAAGAGGGCAATAGAGCCAGAATATGGAGATAACACCGACATAGTAGATTGGGTCAGCAGCAAATTGAAGACTAAACAGAGTGTGTTGAGTATAGTGGACTCAAGAATTCCAGAAGCTTTCAAGGAAGACGCTGTCAAGGTGTTGAGAATTGCAATTCTCTGCACTGCAAGGCTTCCCGCAATGAGACCAGCCATGAGAAGTGTAGTCCAAATGTTGGAAGCAGTTGAGCCGTGCAAGCTGGTGAGCATTGCGATCAGTAAAGATGGTGCTCTTAACATGAGAAAGGAAGTGAGAGATACGGAGAAGTACAACCCAGATCAGCAATGAACTCCTCTTCCCGATTGCGTCAGTCTAGTTCGAAGATCTTCGACAGAATTTCCGTATGCTAGTCTATAACATGTATCATAATTGCTTGTATACTATTAGCTAGAGTCTGTAGTTCTTGTGTGTAATCTGCAAAATTAGCCGAAACCCGAGGCTCTCTTTTCTCTACTCTTTCTGGTACTCGTAAGGGTGACGAAGATGCTAAAATCAATAAACAGATGGACCATTTTGTTGTCAAATGCCAGCTTGGTCGACGAAACCATGGCCCTTTTTTATTTTCTTTTTGGTTGTCAAAAGCAGCGTGGATCAGATCCTTTAGTTCATCGCCCAACAACTTCCATGCCGAGAGGGAAAAAAACAAGGAAAGAAAAAGGCAGGACAAGGATTTGAATCTTCAGGGGGAAATAAAATAAAGAGACAGCCATGGTCGCGTATACTTGAAAACCTGGAACCAATTGTTGGGTCAACAGCTCATCCAGAGGGGTATTGTGCACGAAGCTGCTATCATACCTTATCAATCAAGCAAGAATCGAACCGAATCCCAAATAATTTGATGTTATCTCTTCATTTAATATTTTATTAAATCAGAACTAGTTCTGTAGAAAGTCCATATACACTGCAGTCTGGAGGTCCCCCCCTCACACAGCAACCGAGCCCCATCCATTGAATACGATATATTTGGTTTTGTATTATTTTAAATTAATTTTTTAAAATTAATTTTGATATAAAAATAATTTTTAAAAAATAAAAAACATTATATTTATACATTTTTTAATAAAAAATACTTTAAAAAGTTAGCAACTCTCCACAAACCAAAATATTTCCATGCCACTACTATTTTTAAAGGTGTTCTTGGTGTTAGGCATGAAATAAATGAGTTGGGTGACGATGGGCCCGGCTTCTAGCTTTGACTCTGGTTCCTTCTGTGTCCATATGCATTGTGCACACATGTACCCCCTGTTATTAAAAATAAAAGAAGGAAATATTAAAAAAAAATAGTTGTTTTTATTAATAGTTTTGGGTGTTTTTTTTTTATCATAGTAAATATTATTTTTTAAAGTATTTTTTATTTATAAATACATTAAAATAATATTTTTTATTTAAAAAAAAATTATTTTTAACATTAACATCTCAAAATAATCTGAAAATACAAAAAAAATTAATTTAAAGTAAAAAGATAAAAATTTTAAAAATTGCTTTTAAAATGAAAAATAAACAGGTCTGGATTCTTTGTTCTTTATTTTAATAGTGTTTTTGAAAAAAATTATTTTTTATTTATTTTTTTCCTTCAAAGTAATTTTTGTAGTATTTTCATATTATTTTGATATATTAATATTAACTATAAAAAATATATTATTTTAATATATTTCAATAAAAAAAACTTAAAAAAAATAATTAAAACCACACTACTCCCGATAAATAATTAATATTTTATATTAACTTCCTTGAAAACTCTACTTGGTGAGGTCACTTTTTTTCCCTCTCTCTTTTTAATGATCGTAAAATATCATTTTTTCTAGCAAACTCTAGGGTTATTATTGATAATTTTTTTTTATGTTATTTTTTTTATTGAGATATTTTTTAATAGTATTGGTGGTATTATAATGAAAAAAAATTGGTGTGTCCTGGAAGTTTTTTTTTTATTAAATATTTTTTATTAGATGTTGCTCTTTTAATTATTAAAAAGCTATAAAAGTTATGTTTTATAATCACTATTTGTTCATCAATTTTTTTTTTATAATTATACTATTTCACTAATATTTTTAATTAAATATGTTAATTAAAAAAAACTATATATTTTTTTTTATTTACGTGGGGTGTCCGGGCCAGCTTACGCGCACCACGACTAATCCCCACGGCCCACTGAACATCCTGCAAGCCCAGTGAGCAGGTAAGGCACCGCGGGGGTGACAGGCGTGCATGGTGAGGTTCGAACCCAGGTGCGGAGGAAGGGGACAAGCCCCTCCCACCGCTAGGCCAGAACCTCACTTGCAAAAAAAAAAAAAAAAAAACTATTTAATAATAGTAGATGTTCTCCGAGTTGCCTCACATGGAAGCAAAGTAAGTAGGAGCATAGTGCTTGGAGGTCTGCTCTTATTTATCTGCATGAAGAGTGCGAGAGAATAATTGATAGAGACGTAATGCAATATAATGCTGGATGCATGCTTTACTGCCATGGCTTGAGGGAAAGAACGGGAAGATCATAGAAAAGTTGAAAGAAGAAAGGACTTTTTAGTTAGACAGGTGAAATTTGCTAAGAATTTTATTCGAGCAGATATAGAATTAGAATGGATGGTTTTAGGTCTACTACTAGTTCCTCCTCCCGAATTGAGACCCATCATTCCTATAAATGGAGGTAAACTAATTAATGAGTTTGGAAGTGGCGATGCCATAAGCAAAAAGAAAACAGACTCAGAAAATGGCAGAAACAAATAAAGTTTTTGCACATTTCGTTAATCCATGATCATGATTTATGTTTATATAAACACTTGGACTGTGTTTAGAATCAATGGAAAAAGAAAAAAATTAGAATGTTTGATCACTATATCTTGAAATAAACAAACAAAAGATGAAACATAAATCATGAATCAAACAGTTCGCTGAACTTATCCCAGAAGAGTGGCCAAGGGATTACTGCATTTTTTATTTTACGAACAACTGCCTCCCTGTATCTATCAGTATGGTTCGATAAGACCAGATGTCAGGCTCTGGTATGGGGATTCTTCTGACTAGAATACTGACAAAGGCTACTGGACCGTGGCTTCAAGGCAGGCGGTTATATGAATGAAAGTCGTAAATCTAGCAAAAGAAGGGTTCAACGCACTTCACTCTTGGCTAGACGCCAGCGACGAATGGCGTCAAGAGTTGCATGAAGCCTTTCAAGGGCAACTACCACGTCTACCGCTTCTGGATCAACAACTGACTCAACCGTATGGTCCGTATCTACAAGTTCAGTACCAGTCGAGTCCTTTCTTTATTGTAAAAAGAAGAGAGGCTATGCCAGTGCTGATGCTACCACTGGTGCTTTGCCGCCTCCACCACTGGAGTTATCCAAGATAAGCTACTGAAGCCGCTACGCGTGCTACCATAATGAAGTTACGAGTGCTAAAGAATCTGCTGCTACCCCTGTAAGGGCTTTGCAACCAGCTCAGAAACCAAAAGCCAACACCAGTCGGCAACTTTTCAAGGAGCTGTAAAAGCTTTCCAGGGTTGGATTTCAATTCATGTAATTTTACTTTGATTTTCCCTTTTGAATCAGAACTTCCCCCAGTTTTCTCTTCATATGGCTTTACCGCCACTTACACTGGGCCACCTTCACTCGAGTCAAACTTGGCCTCCCCGAAGTTTGAACAACACACAGGAGGAACTGGGATATACCTATCGACCCTAACCTTAGTAGATCATGGTCGGATAGTTGTAGTCAGGGGCTTGGTAAGGAATGAAGAGCCATTTTGATGGAGAAGTCTTTGCTTTCTTATAATGACCTGGTCGAGTGAGTACGATACATCGGTGTAAAAGATTGAGTGGGACCTCTGAGGCTGGTCGCGGGGCAGCTGACCGAAGGGAAAGCGGGCAGGCAATTCCTGTTCCATGATTTCGCTTTTTCTCTGCTTTTTACGGTATCCCGCTCCACGAGCAGAGCGAATGAATTCTTAACCTTTTTTTATGACCCGAGTAAAAAGGAAAGGCACCAAAAGGCAAAACCCCAAAATGTAATGTAAGAAAAGGAAAAGAAGGCCATGCACTTGTAGTCGAACGCTTGAACTCTCTAGCCATTTCTGTTGGGAGACGACAAGCACTCTTTCTTTTTTCTATGTTCTTAATTCTTTAATTCCTTAAGTCACTTGCAAGCCCAGAGGTGGTCTCACATAAAATACAGTGTATACGTTTCTCTGTGTTTCCTGCCCCCCCAATCTCGGCAGCATTTTTAAGACGACCAAACCAAATCAAACTTAATAAAATAAGAACAGAAAATGCGATTATACATATCTTAATCAAGGATGAGTTCTGGTGGTTCTGATTTGGTTAGGTTCGTTGAATCAGTGCTGGGGGTGTCTTTTGGTGACTCGGTGTCTGACTCTGTGGTTGTGATAATTACAACGTCTTTTGCGGTTGTATTTGGATTGGTGGTGTTTATATCGAAGAGATCATCAGATCGGAGCAAAGTCGTGAAGCCGTTGGTGGTTCCTAAGTCACTGTCAGTTAAGGATGAAGAAGACGAGCCCGAGGCTCTGGCTGGGAAAACTAAGGTTACTATTTTTTACGGGACTCAGACCGGGACAGCAGGGGGTTTTGCTAAGGTAAATAAATGGGCCTCCAGGATAATCATAATTGAAAGTATTTGAAACTATAATAATCGCGTTTACTCTTAAAAAACAACCAAAAAAAAATGTCGATAATCAATCTCGTTGTTTTTTCTGCAATCCTACTCGCTGGTCTCACTTTTAGCTTCTTGTTTGAATGGCTGTGTTGAAGTCGATTTTTATTTCACTATGCTCCCTGCTGAAATGTTGTCCTGATATTTGCTTTAAACAGCAGTAAGTTAATTTTAGATGTGGATTAGAGAGTAGCTGTACTATTTTTGAGCTTATATTTGGTACTGAGCTTGATCTATTGGAATTGTTTGTAGTTTTTAATTGATTGATTTTGGTGATACGTTCACATTTGTGCTTACAGGTTTCTTACATCCTGGCTGTCTTGTGGTGCCAACTGTGGCATGTTCATAGTTTTAGCAAAGCTTCACTGTTTACTGTATGCAATAATGGTAGATAGACTGTTAAGTTATTGGCTGATGTTTGACATTTCAATCGGGACAATGGTGGAACAGCTGGTGCTTGTGCATGGCAGATCATGTGCTAGGTTCCTAGCAGAGATGGACCCCATGAGAAACTTCAGGGCTTAGCTCCATGAGATGCTGGAGCCTCACATCTCATCTACAGTGGTGGTTGCAAGAGATTGCCCAAATAGAATGCTACATTGCTACTCCTATTGTTCATGTTTTGTCATAGGGGAGTCCTGTCATGCGGCTCTTGCTAAGTTACTGTACTATATGATTTAACGCAGAGATGGACATACTTCTTTGTCTTTGTACGTATCTATTATTTGATCTGAAATATGCAACTCTCAAACTATAGGATCATTTGTATAGCCTCCTGTTGAAGATTCTGAAGCAATCAAGGCAGATTTAAATCTGATCTGAATCTGATTTATGGGAAATGAATATAGAAAGCGAGATTTTTCTTTCCCATAAATCATATCCAAATAATGACACCTATTTACATGTAGTTAATAGCCTTCCTAGCATAGATTTGTAGATGTTGTATATAATCAGGAATATATTCTGAAATAAGATTGAGAAGTAAGAATTCAATAATTCTCCACACCTCCTGCTTTAGCATTCTTTCTTTATTTTGATTTGGTTTATTTAATATGTTACTTTGCATTGCTGTACTTTTATTTATTGTAGTTTTCTACTCATTTCTGCTAATTGTCATAGGCTTTAGCTGAAGAGGTCAAAGCAAGATATGAGAAAGCAGCTGTTAAAGTTGTTGACCTGGTAAGTTGGATGGACTTTTTTTGCAAATGACATTGGCTGCAGCATCGCTTGAGAGAATTGGCTTTTTAAGAATTTTATAGCTTGTCTTCATGTTGTTTGTGGTTTGAATTAGGATGATTATGATGTGGAGGATGATCAATATGAAGAAAAATTGAAGAAAGAGACTTTGGCATTGTTCATGGTTGCCACGTAAGATAAATTTTATTGTTGATCATACATTTCTGTACGTTGATCATGTATTTGGATTTTTTGAAGACTCTGGCATTGGATTTTTTTTAGCCTGACATTGTATTTATGGAGATGGAGAGCCAACTGATAATTCTGCTAGATTTTATAAGTGGTTTACTGAGGTTGGTGACTTTATTACAATGCCAACGCTAGTTTAATGTCTTCAGCTTTGTTTTGCTAGAATTTCTAACTATATATATCCTGCAATGATGGTGTTCTGATTTCAGGGAAATGTAAGGGGAATCTGGCGTCAACAGCTTTCCTATGGCATTTTTGGCCTTGGTAACCGTCAATATGAACATTTTAATAAGGTAAAACCAGCAGGGCATGTTCTCTCTCCCTCCCTCCCTCTGCCTCTCTTGGAAACTTAATATTATAAAAGCAATATCTGACAACATGCTGCTGCTAAACAGATAGCAAAGGAGCTTGACGACCTGCTCTGCGAACAAGGTATGTTTCCATTTGTTGACTTAGTGTTATTGAGTCCATATGGTTCTCCCTGGTGTATGTGCTGCATTTGTTTTGAATCTTATTCATTGCGATGTGGCAGTATATCAAGTTTTCACATTTTTTTGGAGGATATATTAAAGGAAAAAAAATAACTAAATGTTGTGCCAATTCCACAGTTTGCAACTCAGGATGCCCAGGGTTGCAAGTTGTACATGACATTGCTTTCAGATTCTGTTCTCACGCTGGTTTTGGATATTGATGTAGTTGTATGTCCCATAGATAGGCATGCTTGTCTAACTTTGTGTCTTGCAATGGTTGGTGATTGGTATGATTTCATTATGTTCTTTTCTGTTTTTTTTACGTTATGTAATATTTCAAATACAGTGGAATTTTCCCATGTGATTGATATAGGAGGAAAGCGTCTTGTTCTTGTTGGTCTTGGTGATGATGATCAATGCATAGAAGATGATTTTTCTGCTTGGTATGCAACATGGTCATGTTTGAACATTTCATCCTGAATTTCAGTGAATTGACTGTCTTGCAGCAGTTGTCTTAACTGGGACTGGCCTTCTTTTTTGTCATTTTTGGATCGATGGAGTTTCCTGGGTGGAATTTACCCAATCGTGGTCTTTTTTGTTTTCTTTTTTAGGAAAGAATTATTGTGGCCTGAGTTAGACCAGTTGCTCAGAGATGAAGATGATGTGAACTCTCCATCTACTCCTTACGCAGCTGCTATACCTGAATATCGATCAGTGATTCATGATCCTTCAATTGCATCTGTCAAGGATAAATTCTCAAACTTGGCAAAAGGGAATGTTTCTTTTGATATTCACCAACCATGCCAGTAAGCAACTAGGTATAGTGCATGTGTTAGTCATCACTGATTTGTTACTGCTGAAATTGATGTTTTTTCTCTTTCTTGAAGAGTCAATGTTGCTGTCCAAAAAGAGCTTCACAAAGCTGAGTCTGATCGGTCTTGCTTACATCTGGAGTTTGACATAACAGGGACTGGCATTATGTAAGTTCATCACTATACCATTAATGAGTGTTTTATCTAATACTTTATATTCCTTTATATATTCCTTTTCTAACTTACCTTTGGTCCCAGACCTATTTCAACTTGACCCACCTAACCTTTGACACTAAAGCCGAATCCCAGAGGCTTATTATTCTTCTGTATACCTACAAAAATCCTGAATTTTTTTTGTTTGAAAAATTTTCTTGAAGCTTGGGACATTTGGAAATTAACCATGATATCTCTTTCAAATCTTTTCTTTGTTTGGGATGACTCTGTACTTCTTTGTGTTAGCCCCTCATTGCTTTATTTATCTGTTTCTGTATTGTAAAGCTGGTATTCCCAGGAAGTAGATATCCTCCAGGAGCTGTCTTCTTGGTTTGAGATCCGTGGTGTCACGAAGCTCTAGTATTGATTCTTTTCTTCTCTATGTACCTTTTCACTATATTTTCGGTGGGGTATTCATGTTGGTTTCTTACTGTGCTTTTTAATTCTGTAGAGTGCTCTTTTCTGCAGTTTTCTGGTGTGTAATGTTCATTTATTACCATATTGGTTCCTCTTTTCCTCGTTTTTTGTTTTTTTTCTTTTAAAAAAGCATTTTGTTTATTTGCATTAGGTCTAATACACTAGTGCTAATAACAGTCTCATCTCTGATTTCTTTCATCAGATATGAAACTGGAGACCATGTGGGGGTGTATGCTGAGAACAGTAATGAGATTGTTGAAGAAGCAGGGAAGTTGTTGGGTCAACCTTTAGATTTGTTGTTTTCTATTCATGCTGATAATGAGGATGGAACAGCTATTGGAAGCTCATTGCCTCCTCCTTTCCTAGGTCCATGCACCCTTCACCCTGCATTGGCATGCCATGTAGATCTCTTGAGCCCTCCTAAAAAGGTGATATTTTCACATGCTTGTTTGTTCAGGTTTATTTTCTGGTTCTTCTGTGTAATGATGTATTTTTTTATTCTTGGCTGTAAATTATGCTTTCAGGCTGCTTTGCTTGCTTTGGCTGCTCATGCCAGGGAACCTAGTGAGGCAGAGAGACTCAGGTTTTTATCATCACAGAAAGGAAAGGTCAGTAGGTGATCCATACTTTTGTTGATATTTGTTTGTTCTGTTTTGTTGATACATGTCATCTGTAAATTCTTGTTTGTCTAAAATGTTTTTTTTTTCCCCTTAAAAAACAAATCCAGGGTGAGTACTCGCAATGGGTTATGGCTAGTCAGAGAAGTCTTCTTGAGGTGATGGCCGAGTACCCATCTGCCAAACCTTCCCTTGGTATCTTTTTTGCTGCAGTGGCTCCTCGCCTACAGCCTCGTTACTATTCTATCTCATCCTCTCCTAGGTGATCTATTTCTTGAAATGTGATTGTATCTTCTTGATGGAATTATAAAAACATAGTTTCCTGATATGTATTCTGCAGATATGCTCCCAATAGAGTGCATGTGACAAGTGCTTTAGTATATGGTCCAAGTCCCACTGGTAGAATTCACAAAGGGGTGTGTTCAACTTGGATGAAGGTATTGATACAACCTCCAATATATTTCAAAGAACCACACTCTCTCACTTTCTGTACCACCCTTAATGTTTGAGATCATCTCGGCATCGTGCATCTCGGCTCGGCATCTTGGAGAATCTAACATCTGGCCGTGACCCCCTCCCCACACTCAAAACTATATATAAAGAAAACAGAATGCAGTTCCTCTAGAGAAAAGGCATGACTGTAGTTGGGCTCCCATTTTCATCAGAACATCAAATTTCAAGTTACCAGCCAATCCTTCAACTCCAATTATTATGGTGGGACCTGGTACTGGACTGGCACCTTTCAGAGGATTTCTACAGGTGTGGATGGATTTGCTTTCTGATGTGTGTGTGTGTGTTTTTTTTCTTTTCTTTTTGTGGTGTGAACAGAAGAAAATTAATTAGCTGATTCCTCCAGGAAAGAATGGCCCTGAAAGAGGATGGTACACAGCTTGGTCCAGCCCTGCTTTTCTTTGGATGCAGAAATCACCAAATGGTTTGGACCTTGACTATGCAAATTTCCTAATTTGACATTTATTGATGCCCAATGAATCTGTTCCCATTGATTTCCAGCTTCTATTGTTTGCAGGATTTCATATATGAGGATGAGCTCAATAATTTTGCTGCGCAAGGTGTGATATCCGAGTTATTAGTTGCATTCTCAAGGGAGGGGCCACAGAAGTAATATGTTCAACATAAGATGGTAGATAAAGTAAGTAATTGTATACTGCAAAATTAGTTGATTGTTGACGAGTTAAATGCTTTATACATATTAGATTAATTTCAAACCATTTGCAGGCAGCAGAGATATGGAGTATAATTTCTCAAGGGAGTTATCTTTATGTGTGTGATGATGCCAAGGGTATGGCAAGAGATGTTCATTGGACTTTGCGCGCTATTGTTCAAGAGCAGGTACTTGTTACTTGAGAATGTTCTTATTTTTGCCCTATTTTATCTCATGCTACTTCTCTTACAAAGCAAAGCACTAGGAAAATCATGCCCTTGCATGCAGTTTTACCCTTTCTCTGTTAAGTGGAAAGCACATAATAGGCAAGTGTTTCGTGTCTAGAACTTCTGTTGTCGATTCAACTTGGTCACTCTGTTTGAATTTACTGTGTTCTTCCCCAATGTTGCATGTGTTTATGTAGTATATACTGAGGAACATAGGGCATCTGAAATCCTTGTGCTTTTGTGTTTCAGGGAGGCTTGGACTCATCAAAAACCGAGTCTATGGTGAAGAAACTCCAAATAGAAGGCCGGTATCTAAGAGATGTCTGGTGATAACAACATTTTCACATTGAATCTGCCTTTGATTGCTCGTAACCTCACCAAGTACAGCATTGAATTTATTCATCTACTATTCCAGCTTCTTCTGGACTCTGGAGTCCCAGCAGGGTTGGATAAGGATGGGGGAGAATCTGGAAGTTGATTACCCTAGAAATTTAGACCCTGTTATTCTCTGGCCGTCCCTTTATCACATTTCATTTTCTACTATTTTGGTTTGAATAGGATCCTGTTAGTCTCTACTGTCTCCTAGATGAGAGATCCCCGGGCAGGGAGCATGTAGTTAGCTGTAAGATGTCAAAAGGGGCATAAAGAATGTTAGCGATGGTCGGTGCATGAACCATTGTGGTAAAGTAAAAAGGTTACAAGGTGGAAATAAAGCTGAACTTGCGATTCTGAAACTGAAAGCAGTCACAAATTTATTTATTTATTTGTTTGTGTGAATCATTGAGATATCTTTCAAACATTTTCTGATTGCCGAGCTAACCATCAATCTTGAATTAAAATGGAGCAACTGAGGCTGGCATTTTTTTTTTAGATTAACGTGGATGTCCGGGCTAACTTGCGCGCACCACGACTAATCTCACGGGTCCTGAAGTTAACGATCATGTAAGCCTTCAGTAGCCATCATATGAGCAACCAAGGACTCGAACCTGAGATTACAGAGGGAACAAATCCCTTGATCCCAAACTGAGGCTGGCATTTTGATCGGTAAGATTGGAGTCCTGGTTTGTATATATGTACATATTGGTGGTCCTGCTATTATGCAGATCGGGCTAAGCAATGCAAGCGTTTTTAAAGGGTAAAAAATAAATTGAGATCCATGTTATTAACTTAATAAGTTTAATAAACTTAATTAATTTAATAATATAATTAAAAAAATATTGACTGAATAAATTAAAAAAGTAATAATTAACTATAAAAAATAAATTATCAATATTATATTTTTTTTTAAATAATATCTGTCGAAGATTTGTTATTATTTTGTTGTGAACACCGCCTGTAATTAAAAAAATTCATTAAGATAATTTTAATATCAATATAAAAAAAGATAATTCTAATGTCAATATAAAAAGCTACACAATAATATTTAAATAAATTGCACGTGATATTATGAAATGAACATCTCATATTTATATTTAATCAATTAATTTAATTTTATCCAAAAATAATTTTTTTTGTAAAAAAGCTAAATTTAACAAAAATAATAATAAATAAAAAGGCTTGAAATAACCCGAATCATTTTGAAAATCAATAAAAATCCTATAGAAAGCAAATAAAAAAATAATTGAGATCGATCTTCAATTAAATAAATATTAAATGATAGAATTAAAAAATCATGAGTTAAAAAAACAAGCAAACCTGAACGAATATTCTAAATATATGTTAATCTGTCAAATTTACAACCTAATAAATATTAAACCTAAGCTCAATTAATAAGCTTAATTCTTAACTAATTTAATATTGAATGATGAAATTGAAAAAAAAAATATCAATTTAAAAAATTTATTAAAGTAAAAAAATAGTAATAAAAAGGACCAGGGATCAAATCTGAAAGGAAGAAAAAAATAAAGGATCAATTTTTTTAAATAACTTTAAAAATTATCTTGAATAAAGTAAATATCAATAAAAAAAACAAGGATCAAGACTGATAAATAAAAAAAATTTAAGCAGGATGAAATTAAAAAATAATTTCTAATATTATAAATTATTTATAATAAAATAAATAGTAATCAAAGAATATGAATCAATTTTAAAGGAAATAGAATGGAATGCCTGTTTTGAAATTTTAAATGATGAGAATTGAAAAAAACAAGAAAATAAAAATAAAAAAAGAATGAAAGTTTTATCAAACTTAAGGTTAATAAGTCACACATGCCACGTTAAAATGAAAGAATCATTGAAACAGTTTCAATATTATTGTAAAAGATGGTGTTTGGTCTTCAAAAAAATATTACGTGTGATTTGTATGCATTATCTATTTTTAAAAATTATATTTTATATTTATTAAAATATCAAATTATTCATTAATTAACTTTATTATAACCGCAAAAAATAGTGAAAATATGAAAAGCACTTGGACATCAATTAAAGTATTTTTGCTTATAAGATAAATGAGTTATTTTATTGTGCTTTTAAAAAATAAAAAAACCCTCATCACTTAAATAATTTTTTTTCTTTTAAGATATATTTATTTATTTTATTATGCTTTAAAAATATAAAAAAAATCTAAATATCCTCAATATAACTAATAAAACTTGTGAAAAAGATTATATTAGCAATGGATTGTCAAATGATTTTGTTTGGAAATCACAAATTAATTATTACATTGTCTCAATTAATTTATAGGGTAATGAGTCTCCAATGAAACCTTGATGCGCATTAATTATAATATAATTCTTACATGTCATTCATTGCCTTAATGAAAAATAAATAGTCAGGGGTTGGATTTGACCATTTTCTTTGTTTTTTGGCCTATCTGAAAAAAATTATTATAATTTTTTATTTGAATTTGAATTTTTTTTAATTATTATACATCCAAAATGAAGTTTATAATATTAATAATAAATTGTTAATGAAAATTCAATTCAAAATATTCTTTTTATTCTTTTATTGATATATTATACTAATAAAAAATTATTCAAAAAAATTACTATAATTTTTTATTTGAATTTGAATTTTTTTTAATTATTATGCATCTAAAATAAAATTTATAACATTAATAATAAATTGTTCATGAAAATTCAAAATATTTTTTTAAATATTTTTTATTAATATAATATATAAATAATTTTTTTATTAATAATGAAATTTATCAATTCAAAATATTTTTTTATTCTTAATATTTTTAATATAATTTTATCATATTTATGGTTTTTTAAACTTTTAATCTTACATAAAATATAGATATATTATTTTAATATTTTTTAAATTACTTAAACAATTATAATTTTTTTAAAAGAGAATTCACGATTTCAATTAAAAATAATTAAACAATTATAATTTTTTTTTTTAAAGAGAATTCACGATTTCAATTAAAAATTTAGAGTTCGCTAAAATAAACATAATATATTTTAATAAAAAAATTTATCTTGAAAAATAAAATTTAAAATAGTTGAATTGACAGGTTTAATAATATTGTCTAACAATTTCATAAAAACTAAATATATTTTATTTTTGTAGATTTGCAAAAATTTTGATCCACCATTGGAGTGCGAATCTATAAACTGAATAAGACACAAATCGAGACATAAAAAAAGAAACAAACAATCAGATAGAAAGAAAAAGAAAGGTAGTTTGACATGAATACGGGCTCTGAATCTTTAATTACCTCTGTGAATAATCATCGTCTAGGACTTCTCGAGGGCACTGTCGTCATTAAGAACCTCCAAACTCCCTTTCAGCCCCTAACCTCCGGCTATTTTTCTCTCTCCACTGTGCACTCCCCCCCCGTCTAGTGCGTGTCTCCACGCTCTCAACGACTCGCTCTCTCCTCCTCCTCCTTCCCCCTCCTCCTTCTTTGTTTTCTCCGTTTTTCCCATCTACGTGTTCTGTATTTTTTGACATCCTCTTTCTCTCTGAAACCCTAAATTAGGGTTTTAATAAAATTCGGCTTAATGGAATTGAATCTCTCCAGTTCCTAATATGTAATTGAAATATAACAATACATAATGATTGAAAAATCCAAGAAGAACAAAAAGGGAGTAATCAGTGAAGAAGATGTTTCCACTCTCTTACAAAGGTAAGAACCTTTTTCTTTTCTGTTTTTATTTAATTTTTATTTTTGGGTAATTAAAATTTGGGTTTTTTTTTTTTTTAGGTATACTGCGACGACACTCCTAGCGTTGCTGCAAGAAGTGGCTCAATTTGATGGAGCGAAAATTGATTGGAATGCGTTAGTTAAAAAGACCAGCACTGGAATTTCTAATGCAAGGGAGTATCGAATGCTATGGAGACATTTAGCATATCGACACGTTTTACCTGAGAAATTCGATGATGGAGCTCACCCTCTGGTTTGCTCTGCCTCTTTGCCTGAAAAACTCAATGCCGCCTCTCTTTTTTTTTTCTTCTTTTATTTGGATTTGAATTTCTTTTTTCCAGGATGATGATGATAGTGATTTAGAATCTGAACTGGAAGCTTTTCCTAGTGTTACTAGTGAAGCCTCGACCGAGGCTGCAGCTTGTGTTAAGGTGGGCTTCTATCCCACTACTATGATGGTGATTGTTCCTATATACTATGTGTGATACAATCTGTTGTTGTTTGTTTAATCCTTGTATAAATTTCGAGTTTTGGAGATTTTATGTAAGATTTCTAGTTCAGAAACTCATTTCAAGAGTTGAATGTGTCAAAAAGAAAAAAGGACGTATTAGTTTTAAATTTTCCGTTGTCAACTACTCGCATAGAGATAAAGGTTTGAAACGTGTCAAGTTAATTATAGTTTCCAAACAAATGTAATGATATTCAAAGGGGCAAGGGCATTGTAAAAACAAGATGGTTTCCAGGAAACTACAGTGACCAAATAATAGAGCTTGAGGTGCAACTTTTTTATGTTTTAATCATTTAATGGACGACTCCTTAAATTTCGAGTTTTGGAGATTTTATATAAAGTTTCTAGTTCAGAAACTCATTTCAAGAGTTGAATGTATCAGAAAGAAAAAGGACAAATTAGTTTTAAATTTTCTGTTGTCAACTGCTCGCATACAGATAAAGGGTTGAAACGTGTCAAGTTAATTATAGTTTCCAAACAAATGTAATGATGTTCAAATGGGCAAGGGCATTGTAAAAACAAGATGGTTTCCAGGAGACTACTGTGACCACATGATAGAGCTTGAGGTGCAAATTTTTTATGTTTTAATCATTTAATGGACTCCTTATCTTTGAGATATTCCAAGAAGGCAAAACATGCTTGAATAATTTGTTTTATTTGATTCCTCTTCATTTTCTATGTCCAGTTACCTTATTGATGAGAATGGTTGTTTTGGTTAGGTATTAATAGCATCTGGTTTACCAAGTGATTCAGCTCACCCAAACAACACAACTGTTGAGGCTCCCTTAACTATAAACATACCTAATGGCCGGTCGCTTAGAGCTACATCAGAAAATTCGCAATCTGATGCGATGCAGGGGGTGAACATTAGAGTTCCAGTTTCTGTGCAGAAACTGTCTCTGCCTGCAGTGACACCTTGTCCTGCTTCTGAAGTATATGATGCAAATGGATCAGGTACTGGCACATTTCCTCCAAGAAGGAAAAGGAAACCCTGGTCAGAAGCTGAGGACATGGAACTGATTGCTGCTGTGCACAAATTGGGCGAGGGGAATTGGGCAAGCATTGTAAGAGGTGAATTCAAGGGTGATAGAACTGCTTCCCAGCTGTCTCAGGTTGTTTTCCATGCATCAAGTGCTATTAAATTATCATCCTTTCTCATTCTTTTTCATGCTTACTGTAGTTAGATTCTCAGGCTTTAATAGTTCAGTAAGAAACACATAGGGTTGATGCTTAGTCATCTAAACTCTCTTTGCTTTTGATGTTCCATTCTACCCCTGCAATTTGTTGGTTTCAATTGCCATGTATAACATGGTCAAATCATTGCTTTGGAGATTGCTTTATGTAGGTCGTGGCTTGATCGTTCATGGAAATGGTTGTTGTATATCTTTTTCTTACCACGGACTCTAAGGGATCTAGTTGTTAGCAGTTCATTTGCAATGGCACATATATTTGTTGGTAGTGCTATGAGGGTCATCCCTTCAGATATTGCTGCGAGTGCTGTTAACCGTGGCTTGTCCACAAACACAGATGTATTCTTCATAAAAATGTTTTAAGATTATAAAGCATTGAAACATATTGTTGAAAATGTAAAGGAAAATCACTGAGAATTAAAGGAGAACATGGCTAGACTTGATTAGTTCTGATATCTTGATTCTTTGCAAATAAAATAAGAACTTCATATAGGATTAGCATGCATCTAAAGTTCCATTTCAACATTTGTGTTGCACTTCTCTGATGATGTTGGAGTTAGTTTTTTTTTTCTTTTTTCACACACTGGAGCAATTTGTTAACCATATCATCAAAAAGGAAATATATTGTTGAAAATGTAAATAACATGAATAAGTGAGAATTAAGGGAGGATATAGCTAATCCTGATTAGTTTTGCTATCTTGATTTTTTGCAAATACAAGGAGGACCGCATGTAGGATTAGTATTTGCTATCTTGAATTTTCGCAAATACAATGAGGACTCCATGTAGGATTAGTATTCATCCTAATCCTACAGAACAGAACCTCAAGCAATTGTTTTAGCTGTATGATCCAGATTTGGTTCCATTGGCATTGTTATTTAATTACTGCCGTGGAAAGCAATCCGTTGTCATCTAGTCCGGTCAGGATGTCTGGGTTCTCCCAGTTTTTCCCGGGTTCAAATCCCGGCAACGGATTTCTTTATTTTTTCAATAAATTCCGATCTGTTCACATTTTTGGCCATTGTTCTTTCCTTGTCTATTGGTCTGCTATGTTCATGTGGATTTAGATTCCATGAATTGCTGGTTTGTTTTTTAACTGTAAGGGTTCCATATAGGATTTTTTTCCCTTTGCTTTTCTCCTCCTAATTACCATAGCTTATACAAGCAGAGGTGGGCCATTATTCGGAAGCGGCATGGGAACTTGAATGTGGGAACCGTTTCCAGTGCCCCTCAACTCTCTGAGACACAGCGTGCAGCACGCGATGCAGTGAAAATGGCCCTCGATCCTCATCCAGCAGCCAAAAGTTTAATTGCAAGTTCTGGTAAATTATCCTTTGCATCTCTTACTGTTTTTAAATTATTTAGGTGTGTTCTAGCATACAATCTTTCTAGGAATTTGTCTAAATGTAATAAACAGCTCAACTGCCTTTAAAGCACAATGGTAGTTTGTAGTTTGCTCTCTATGCATGTAGTTCACATGGTTTCAGCACTTGTGTGTGTGAGATTCTTACAATTATTCTTTTAACTTGGAGCAGCTGGGACAACTTCTACCAAAACCCCCAATAATTGTGTGCCTCCTACCATCACTGCAGAAGCTTCTCCTGCCCAACATCAATCTCAACAACGTACCATGATGACAAAATCATCTTCAATATGGCCAGTGGGACCTGCAGCAAAATCTCAAGTAATGTTGGCAAAAGCATCAGAAAAATCTATTCTGAGTTCTGATCCTGTGAGAGCTGCTGCAGTTGCTGCTGGGGCTCGCATTGCTACCCAATCAGATGCTGCTTCACTGTTAAAGGCTGCTCAGGCAAAGAATGCTGTCCATATCATGCCCACAGGCAGTTCTTCAATCAAATCATCCATGACTGGTGGTATTTCTACCCACTTAGATGTCAATCCCAATACTCGATTTATCTCCAGTGGCATGGCAACTGCACCAACTACCACACGTCCAGCTGCAAGTGGTCCATGCCCTGGTTTGCCCAAAGCTACTTCACCACCCCCTCAGATGAAAGCTTCTTCATCAACAGCTCAGCATGCACAATCCACCCCTGTCACATCATTCAATGCGCAATATGAACAGACTAATTCTGTTTTGGCCAAAACCACTGTTCTGCCACCTCAGATGAAACCTTCTTCAATGACAACTCAGAATACACAATCCACCCCTATCACATCATTGAGTACGCCATCTGAACAAACTAATGCTGAAAGTTCGCCAAAGCAAGGCATTGTAACCATTAAGGATACAAAAGCTTTTGGGTCGCTAGAAGTGGCAAATGGCCAAGTTCAAAAGGATGGAGCTCATGTCTCTGTAAAGGAACCAAGTGAGCATGTTCAGGAAGTTAAAACAGCTTTGACAAACCAAGAAGCAGAGTTGAAAAGTCAAGTAGCTGCTTTGGAGAGTTCTAATGGTTCACCAAAATTGATAATGAATGAAAATGGCCTGGTAAATGTCACTGGCAACCAGGTTCACGGAAGTCAAAATGCAGATGATAACAAGATGACTTGTTCACCTATCAAGGAAGCTGAAAATCAATCTGCAGTTCAGGGGAATGATGAGAATCAAAGTGTAAGTGAGAGGCAAGCAGATTTGCCTAGCTCAGTAAGCAATGAATCCTGCGTAAAAGTGGATAGTATAAGCAGAACAGAAGCCAGCGATGGAATGATGGACGGATAGGGTCAGAGTATTGGATGCAAAGTAGCAGAAGACACTTTCCTTTTTCTGTTTGGTCTCTCTATTTGTATTTTAAACGAGATAGAAATTGTGTAAATTGGTTACAGTTTTGGAAAGTAATGACTCAGTCCGTCTTTTTCATGATGTAATTCTTCATGCTCGCCTGGTTTGATAGATCATGCTGCCGTAGATGGATCTGAACACTAATGTCATTGACAAAAAAATGAAAAATAAAAAATCACATTCTTATAGATTAAAATTTTTACAGTGTGTTTAAGAAGTAACTAGTCATGTTTTATTAATTATTTTTTAAATTTATTTAGAAAAAAACAGATACAATTAAGAAATTTTAGATAAAGACCTTGTGAGGAATGGATTTTATTTATTTATTTATTTTTTATTCGTCTGTATTTTTTTGCGTGCAATTAGAGAGTAACTAATAAGAAAGATATTTTTGTGCGTGTAAATGTGGGTTTCATCTTGAGACTTCGAATTTTTTATTTATTTTAAATTAATATGATTTTAATATTTTTGAATTATATTGATACGTTGATATCAAAAAAAAAAATTAAAAATAAAAATATTGATACGTTGATATAAATAAAAAAAATTAAAAATAAAAAAAATATTATTAATATATATTTTAACACAAAATATTATTTAAAAAGCAACCTCAATTACAATTTTTTTCCCTACACCTGATATATAAATCCATCGACTCTGATTTTTTTTGGGGTAAATCATTGGCTTTATGATTTGAAACCTGAAGTTTTCCTTGTAAATTGCAAATAAGAAACATCTCAGCCTATAAGCTGTGTAAGAACTGTTTGATTCATGTGTCACTGACTAATCTTTCATCTTTCCCGTACATGCTAGTTGGATTGTTGCAGCCAGAAATGCAGTGTGATCTGCATTTTCTGCAAAACCGATGTCAGAAGAAAACCTCCTGTGGTTGGAAGGCATGGCAATTGGATAAATTAAAAATCTTAATTGATAAGTTGGGGTGGATTTAGCTTCTGCTGATCCCTTTTTCACTGTCTTGATCTAGAGAAATTCAAACAATGGGCAACAATATAGGGCTGAGGTAAAGAGAGGATCCGTAGTGTTGCTCAGTAAAAATATTTTGATTAGTTACTTAAATTTTACCCAGTGGGTCAGAAAAATTAACAAGGAACTCGTAGTGTTGCTTCAAGTTCTATTTGAAGCATCTAATACTACGACAGGCAAGCCAAATGAAAAACGAAAGGAAAATGGAAAAGGAACAATCCAATCTTCAGTGGTGTTGTGGGGGTTTTCCATCCTCGAACATACTATATTGTTTCTGCAGTGCAGGGCTTGCGCATGAGAAGATTGACTGCTTTTGTCCCTTAAGTTTCTTTAACTTGACACCAAACAAGAAAGAGCGCAAGGGGATTCTAGCTTTGTGTGATGAACTCCTACTTTTAGATGCTGAAATCCCGAGCTCCTCGTCCAGTCTTGTGAGTAACCTTTCAACTTCAACCTTGAGTCCTCTCACACGATCCAGACCAGTTTGTAGCTCATCTGCAACCTTGTTGCTTTCCTGTTTCATGTTGAGAATCTCACCTTGAAACTTAGCTGCTTGATATTCACTGAGCTCAGCCTCTTCTTCTTTGGAACTTGGATTGGAAACTCCCAACAGCTCATCTTGAATATTGCATAAAGATGCATGTCTAGCATGCATTTCATCTTTCATAACCGAATTGTTCTCCAGCCATAATGTTAGTTCAGTTTGTATTTCTCTCAAATGTGTGAATATTGGCCGAGTCTCTGAGATGATATATTGACTCTTATCATTGCCGTCTCGCCTTGTTTTATCTCTTACTTTTGATAGCTCCACCTTTAAGTCATGGACTGAAGTTTGAAACTTTCGTATCTGATGCAAAGTGGTGCTAAACCTCAACCAGAACTCCAGATTTTCCTCCAGCAGTCCATCAATATCTGAACGTATCTTTTCTTCTACAGCTGAAGGAACATGGGGTGAATTTGCTCGTTTCATCTTGATCACGTTGCTAACCTCTTTCTCAGAGTACCTTCTATTACCTCCAGATACAGCTAATTCACCAATTCTTCCTCTGGCTTCCACATGATGTTCGTGCTCTGAGTCAAAAACTGGCCGCGGAGGTGAACTTCGAGATGAAAGATTTGAATCCAGGAAGCTAGCTGCTTGTGTCATAAGGTCGGGAGAACCTTCTGCATGTGAGTACTTATATTTTGTCGAATCACCATCATTATTTTCTTTGAGATTTTGTTGGTGAGAGCTCATTTCACGCAAAGATTGGATCTCTTCATCCCTCAGGGCAAGAGCATTCTTTAATTCCCTAATCTGCAATGCCAATTCAAAGAAACCGTCCCGATTTTTCTTCTCAACGTCACCGAGCTTCTTTCTTACTTCAGTATAATTCCGGAGGACCAAAGTATACTCTTCCAGCAGTAGCTTTTCCCTGTCATCTAACCCACTCGCCAACAACTGCCTCCAGTTGGGTTGATCCTCTTCATCTATTCCCAGTTCCTCTAGCCGAGCAGCAACATCATTTTCTTCCTCATGCAAATCTTTCTGATCATGTGTTGTGACATGATCATCAGTTATGGCAGTGAGCTTTTGGTTTGGTCCAGATTCCTCTGCTTTGATAGAACTATTGACAGCAGGAACATCATCTTTCCTCCCTTCCTTTTCCATTTCCATAGGCTTCGATACAAATGCATCATTGAAAGAAGCCAGATGCTCTTCTTGTTCTTCGACCCCCCTGCCCGCTTTGACATCAACAGCAGCTCCTGATTCTTGGATTGATTCTTCTTTCTCAACTTCCTTGTCTGGTTTCACTGTTTGTAACTTCACCGACAAATGATCAATGGCACAACTTGCTTCAGTTAAACGTGTTAGAAGGTTTTTGTTTTGATCTTTGATGTTTTCGTTGAGGCATTTCACTCTACGCAACTCCTCTTCCAACTCTCTTAGCTTGTTGCTCATTTTCTCTGAATTTTCCATCAGAGTCGCCTTATCCTCTTCTAGAGTCTTGATGTGTGTCTGGAGCCCATCTGAATCAGATTTTAGTCTGTTTACCAGAGCATCTTGAGAAGAGACTGCAGTTTCCAAATTCACAACCTTCTCAACTAGTTCATCAATTCTGTCAGCCAGTTGCATCACAGTGTGGGATGATTTTAAATCTGCTTCCAGCTCACCTTTAATCTTCTCTCGCAGCAAATTCGTATCACTTGGATCTATATCTTCTGATTCAGCCTCCTGTTCATCAGCAGGCTCCAGCAGATCTGATTGGTCAGAAAGAAACTCACCTTTAAGGGCTACGTACTTCTGCTGGACTTCCTTAATCCTTCGGTTCTCTACTATAGCCTCTTCAGCTGATAGCTCCCGTTTCTCTTGCAACTTAACCAAAGTATCCTTACATGATTTTAGAGCAGTGGCAGCCATCAAAGTTCGGGCTTCATTATCATCAATAACACTGCTGATACCAAACTCATCTTGTAAACCGCTGATTGTCACTTGCATTTCAGTTATCTGATTTTCAATCCCCCCGCACTTAGCTTGACATCGTTCAGATACGCTTTGTACAAACTCCTTCTCCGTTTGTAGTGCCAAAATTTCTTTCTGAAGCTTATCAGTTTTCTCTACAGCCTCTTCTCGGCTAAGGCCTGAACCTGGAGGCACATTGGCTTTAGCAGAGCTAGCAGTTCTATTTAGCTGCTGCCCCTTTCTGGACAATAAAATTGTTCGGCTTCTGAAATCTTTCTTTGGCATGCTGGGTACCTTTGGAATATTTGCTTTGGAGACCTTGTGTGCTTCGTTGGGATCATCAGATTCGAATATTGTGGGATCACTTTCTTCAAAATCATCATCATCCATGGCAAACTGAACTTGTTCTGGGAAGACAGTGGCAATGGTGCGGTTGGCACTTTGCAGCTCTTTTGACAGATGATCGAATCTCTCGGCCAATGCTCGATATGCCCGGTAAGAGTCTTCCACAATGTTTATAAGTTCTGGCCTCCTTCTGTAGTACATCTCAGCTCTTTGAGCGAAGGAGTCCCCAGAGTTTTCAATGATTTTAAGCATGTTATGAACCTTTTCCTCCATATCTGTCATATCAAAAGTGTGTTAAACTAAATCAAAAGCAAAAGAAAGAAGAGCCATAAATGTCAGTAAATAACAGACTTGAATATTCTTATACAACCATAGTCTAAGCTAGACATATTTGAAAATGTTATCTCTGTCATTTTCCTGGTTTCTTGCTTTGTTATAATTTGCTTCACATGTTTTGTGAAAAAAACGGAGAATTGGTAAGTAAATGCACGATTAATCTTAAACAATGTGGGATCATCGGAAGCAGAATTGATTTCGATCTCTTCGTTTGTATAATAAACAGAGTTAGTTAGTTGCCAATGAGCATGTAAAATAATCAAAAACACAACACACACAAACACACACACATATTCTGAATGAATGAAGCCTTTCCCTTGTGTGACCTTGCAAATCTCCAAACGGACAACTTAAAGGAACCTGGCATGTTGTTGCGGACAATTGACCAATAAGAAGACAGGACTAGTTATACACCAATCTAGATTCTAGATCACCGAAATAGACCATACAGAAGACCATTAATTCTTAGAAACATATACAGATGAATCAAAGAAGACAAAAGCACCCACCTTGGAGGTTTTCTTCCAGCCATTTTGAATGTTTTGTCCTGATGTGGCTTGCCCACCACCATGAATATGCATTGCTTGCTGCTCTCTGCAGCATTGTACCTGCCTTTTCCCTCCCTCAAAATGCAAAAGAGATTCAACGCATTCGTGTTAAGATATTGATGAAAATAATTGTCAAAGAAGACGAGAAAGAAGATTTTGCCGATAGATAAACACAGCTTTTGCCTAGAGGGTCTCTAATGAGCAGCGGGGGAGGATATTTAGGGCCAAATTTTGTGCCTTTGACAGCCTCAACATCGATAGGGGCTCTTCGATGGATGCGGCCATGTTGAAGGATCCTTGATTTGGCAGGTTAGTTTCCTAGAATAGAGGGGGGCATGTTCCCTTTCTTTGATTGCTAGTTGCTTGACAGGATTTTTGCTGCTTATTTTCGTTGTTTTGTTACATGGGCATTCACGGCATGGTCTGTTAGGCTTAGAAATGGACTCTCAACTTATTTTTTCAAGAAGTTCGACTATTTATAAAAAGTAGTGGCTCTTCAATTTGTTAAAACTGCACAAACTGTTTGTGCTTATCTTCTTCGTCTTCTTCTTCTATTTTTGGAAAAATGCCCATCTTCTTTCAATCAACCGAAAGTTGACACACACAGTGCCTCTCTGTTTTTCTGGTTAAAATTGCTAACCGATTTCTGTTGTTTCAGCATTTACTCCAAATATGAAAATAGAAGAACAAGTATAAATCAATTCTGTCGGCCAATAAAATAACGCTGTGGTACGGTACGGTATTGTTATGTTTTTAAAACAAAATAACGTTAAGATATGTTTCGGTCCAAAACACGATCTCTTTCTGTAATTTACCATGTGGCACGGGCAAGCAGACAGACTACAGGCGTTTATAGTACCACTTAGGACGTGACTTGCTGTCTGTTGCTTTTCCAGTAACTAAGAAAAACACTTCAACAAAATCAAAACTCCACCAGGAATTTATAGCGAGGAGTTAATTATAATTTACTGCCTATAGTTCAGAAAAACAAATCAATCTGTCCCGAAAATTATATTATATATGATCACTAAATATGCTAATATTTTTCCATTTCATGTTGTTTTGTTTTTATTACTTAAGAAATAGAAGGGGGGAGAGAGATTTGACAATAGAGGAAAGGTTTTTTTTCTACCAAGAGTCAAGAAATTTTTATTATTGAAGAAATTGATTGGTTTAATATGAACTACACAGGGACTAGGGGACAATTAACACGGATAAAGGGAAATGTGCCACAGGCTATCACCGTACAAATTACGAGTCCGAACAGTTTAAGCAGACACAAGTTGCGAGAGATAGCGAGAGGGGATTCGATCACTATACAATATGTACACAATTCCTGCAATTATTTACATAGTTTTTACAGTAGAATATGAAGCATGAACCTGCTTCTGTATGCGCAGCCATATTTACATCAAAGAATTAAAAGCACGCGCAACAAAACGCTCTCTCCCTGTCGTCTCTTATTTTTTTCTAGCTGAGGTATCTGCCATCCCACAGTAATCTCCTAAATCGGGGACAGTGACGAGGAATGGCAGCTGCAGGGGAAAACTCCTTCACGGTCAAGAAATGATTAGAAGCCAAAAAAACCCGCCACTTTCAGCATATATTAGTACTAGCTAGGATAAGAAGAACATCAGCAATCTTCTTCTACTGGCAAGCAATAAACCCGACCAGCTGCACTCTTTTTTTCTTCTTTTTTTGCTTTTTGCCTTTTTTTTTTCTTTTTCTTTCAAGTCCTCCCATATATATGTACAATATTTTCTCGTTAAACAGAAGGATGGGTTCTGCCAGAAGATTCAGCAGTTACAGAAGTATAGCACAATGAACAGTAAAGTGAAATCATTAGCAGCACTAAATGTCAGATGTTCTGGACGGATGAAAGCCACTGTTCCATGTATTTCTTGCTCTCTGCACATTGAAGTTAAATAAAGTTAAGAACTCAGCACAGAGAAACAATCACATTTTAAGACAGGTTGAAAGAGAAAAAATACATTTTGCTTCCACCAACCACTTAGATGCATATATTTGCAATCAATATGACATCACAAAAGGGATTAAACAGCAAAAAGCCAGTAAGCATAGATAAACAAGAAATAGGAGTGGAGTTTAGAACTCGTTTCTTTTTTTAAAATTTCATCAGCTGCGCTCAAATTGTGATCATTCAATAGTTCAGCTGATGCAAATTGTAAAACATATCTTAAAGGTAATTGCAAAACATTTCTCAAAGATAGATAAATGTAAATCACAACCTTGTTGGAAAGAGGAAAAGGGAAACAGAAGGTAACTCCTAAACACCTAAATAATGTAGGAGATATTGTTGTGCATTGATCATGTATGGAATTCAAATAACCATCCTTTTATGCAGCGACAAGCTACCAAAGTAACCAACCAGTAAGGGACAAAATGAAACATTAGTGTGAAATAATTCAGATTGCTGTCGAGGCTCTCAAACATAGAAAATATGTTAGATGTTTCTCCTTTTTAAACCTCTTAATGTCTAATAAATTATGGATAGATTATAGCCCATGCCACAAAGATTATTGTTAATAGCTATAACAAATTGCATTCCATGTAGAAGTAAAGGCTCTCTTAGGCAATCACATTCTTCGTGTAACTTAGTTAAGATTGCCTGCATACAGAAGAAGTTGAATGACTTTCCTTGCCACATCACAGTAATCATTTTTTGTTTTTAATGATTTCATAATAGCTTGTTCATTTATCATTGAAAGGAGAGCTGACAAGTCAGGTAGCAGAAACAGTTCTAAAGACTTCAACACCCTTTACACCATGGTTATTGCAATAATAATTGCGTGATAATCTACCTAGTGAACTGTTAATCAACACAGCATAAGGAAACCTACACCAATGGAAGAGGAAAATAGAAGATTTTGTAGAAGCAACCAAAATATAAAAAGAACTTTGGAAGAGCAATGGCTCTTACCATCTGGAATGTTAACAATAGCACCAAACAGATTGTTCTTTTTAACCTCAAAGGCATTATCTTGAACACGGCCATAACATGGGACCAGCACAGCAAAACTGTTGTCCGTATCATCATCACTCTGGAATTCAGGTCCATGAGGCTCTAACCACCCAATGGAATAATCCGAATCATCAGACTCTGACCCTGAAACACAGCCACCATCAGATGGCACAAGAACAACATCATATTCCCTATCAATTTTCCGCTCTTCCCGGCTGTGCCATTTTCTCTTAACCCTTCTAGAGGAGGATGCCACATTAGTTTGAACCAAAGGAAATTTCAGAGTATCCGACGATTCCCATAAATCCGAGTCAGGTCTCGCATTTAAAGAAGACCCGTTTGAAATTCTGGGTTCCTGATGCTTTCCACTCCATAACCACCATGAAAGATTGGTAAATGCCACAGCCATTAAATCAACAAAAAATCACCCTAGAAAACTGATCACAGAAATACTCAACAAACTGCAATTAATCCAAGGTCTGATGATTGAAGAGCGGAAACAGGCAAGACAACGAGTTCTTTACCCCTGTAAAAAGGAATCAACAATAAACAGTGTTAACACACAAAAATAGAGTAACTGACGTCGACAAACAAAAAGAAGTTAGCAACCTTATATGCAGCAACAAAACCAACTAGCTTTAAATGAAAAAAAAAAAAAAAAAAAAAAAAAAAAAAAAAAAAAAAAAAAAAAAAAAAAAAAAAAAAAAAAAAAAAAGCAATTGCCTTCCATGTTTTCCTTATGATTTTCACTTTCAAGATGAAACAACTTCGAAAAGGATGGATTTTTTTTCACATTTTTGTTCCATCCAAAATTTAACATCAAATAAAGAAAATCAAAGAATAAGAAAAGAAAAATTACAAGGCACAGGTTCAATGAACTATCGCTGATAAATACAATGAATTTTCATAAATTTAATGAATAAGAAAAGAAAAATTACAAGGCACGGATTCAATGAACTATCACTGGTCAATACAATAAATTCACATGTGAAAAATAAAGAATTTAATATCAAAATACAGAATCATTCAAAAGAAAATCTAAAAATAGAAAAGGACGTAATTGTACCAAAAATAGATCTCTCCCAAATCATACAAAGCGAGCAGAAAACAGATTTCTCAAGCTCACCAGATGCACGGGAACTCAATATTATTACTAAATAAATAAGAAATTTGAAAAATCAAAATATTCACTTTCTTTCGCGTTCTTGGCTGAATCAATCTCAGGATCATGAAACCGATCAATTGCTAAAAAAAGGCTATAGGTTCAAAAAATCAAGATCAGATTACAAGCGTAATGTAATGCGGATACCTTAAAAACAGGGAGTTCTGATTGTGTTTCCAGCTTGTATCCGAACAGATGAATGAGAAACCCTAGTTTCGATAGATTTGTCTCCTCTTTTTTAGATTAAGAGAAAGAACAAAAAAATTAAAGAAAGAAGAGACTGAGAGAATTGAGTTTTGGTTCTAATTGGAAAGTTATGACCAACTTACAAAACAAAACTAACTTGATTTGTTGTTCTCTGGAACCGGGTTTACTTTATCACATGAGCTTTGTTTTAAACGTGTGAACATCGGGGCTTTTAGTTGGACCGCCTATAGAATTAAGATTTGTAAAAAGAAATTAAGTGATATATATATATATATATATATATATTTCACATGGATAAGTAACCTAGCTGAGATTCTATAGGAATTAACAAAAAATAATAAATAAATAAATCTTGGATCAAAAAAATTATTTTTTGACGGAGAATAAAAATATTGTTGAAGGAAAAATGAGGAGGAGGATAAACGATGATTAGGTGAGGGGAGGTTGAGTGGTAGTGTGGATACGGGTGCAGGAGAGCAGGGCTGATTAAATGGTCTGGTCAGCGTTGTGGTGCTGGTGGGGTGGCTGCCGGGAAGAGAGGCCAGAGGAAAGGCGAAGGAAATAAGCAATGACGTGGCGTGGGAAATGACCATGGATTTGCGTGTCTTTGTGGCTCAAGTAACCGGTGTGTGCTAGACACTGTAGCTGTGGCTGTACATTACAAATATAATAAATAGTCATCAATCAAGCCACAGCCAGCTAGCAGATTGGTTAAAATTTAATTTAAAAAAACATATTAAATTTTTTTATATTGTTTTGATATATTAATATTAAAAATAAATTTAAAAAAATAAAAAATATTATTTTAATATATTTAAGTGAAAAATCAACTTCTAATTAGAGAGTTGTTAATTAAAGAATAAACTATATGCCTTGTAAGTTTTAAATTGCACATGGACTCCTTGAAAGTTTGGATTCTAATGGTTGGACGGAAGAATTTAAGGGCAAATCTTTGTGGTTTCTTTTTTCTTTCTGTCTCTAGCAGTGTGGGGTGCTTGATGAACAACCTCTTCATGGTGTAATTTCTTTATTTACTCAAATTAGCACCCCTCAGTCAATTAAAGCTGTGGAGGACCTTCTTCCTTTTCTTTTTTTGTCGTTTTGAAGGATTTATATATTTTTATTTTTTTATTCAAAAATATATTAAAATAATATTTTTTTATTTTTAAATTTTATTTTTAATATCATCCTACTCAAACAATTTAAAAATACCTAAAAACAACAACTAACTTGAGACCACAAAAAATCAAAAATATTTGAAAAGATGCTGGACCATGATACCAAAAGCAAAAGATGGTGCAGAAAAGGTATCAATAATGCGCAACTCTGCATGTTCTCATATTTCCTTGGTTTTTCCTAAATATCATGATGGCCATGGGCTTCAAAAGGGCATCAATTGTAGCTATCGTCATACAGTTCATCCACAACCCTGAAGATAAGGGAAAAACTCACGTATGGCAGTCTCTCCTCCTTCAACCTGCAAGGGGGAGGTCCACAGATTCTCTCGTCGGAACCACATGTTCTTGTGATCATGACTTGTTTCCATTCACCTCTTGGTTTAATCAACCTGAGAAGGACTTGCATGCTATATCGATCAACCAACAACTGGCACACATGGCGGTTTGTCGTCGTCACAACGACTTTGCAATTTCCAGAAGCTAGTCACTGATCATGTTATAATTATGCTACGATTTTTTCGTGCTGCATTTGCAAAACATACACAGAAGGCAGAGGGCATCTGTATCCATCTCTAATCAACCTGGAGGAGGGCCTACCAACTACCGAACCCCTTTGTTTTTGGCACTCAATTATTGTGGGATCTGATAATTAATTACTTGGTGGTCTTGGCTCCACACACACAAATAATAATAATAATAATAATATAGTAGTCTTTGGTTAATCTTCGATGCATTGGCTAGCGACTGTGCCAAGAATCAACGACATTGATGGTTCGGAGACTTTGATAAGGCGTGTCGGTCGAAGAGGATAAATCCATGATAGTTAAGAGATCGTTTTGCAATTTTGTTGCTAGAATCACTCGAAACATTTTGGCACTTTGCACTCAACGTTCACTCAAGAAATTGCTTTCACCTTACATGCATATACACCTTGACAAGTGTTGGGTTTTTTCTTTTCTTCCTTCAAAGAAACGAAACTAAGTCTCATGTCATTTGAAACAAGTTAGCACTTAGAATTCATTAAAAAGAAAAGAAAAAAAAAGTGCTATTATATATTATTAGTTTTTATCTGCGTGCTCCGCTCATATATTATACCTTGACAAGTGTGCGGTTGCTCTTGAATTATCCCATTTCCTTTAGTCCTATAATAAATCAAATGGAAATCGGAAATCGACATGGATGTAAGAGAGGAACACAAACAAGAGCTCCAATTATTGGACTGTCGGCCTAGCAGTAAGAGCCAGCCTTTTGGGTGAAGCCGATCTGACTTTCTCATTAGCCTAGACCAGGATTGGTCGGACTTTGCAGCTGTCACCTCAGTACAGCTCTCCGACAAGCCCAGAGTGAGATGGGATTTAGAGGGCCCATGCTAACCGATTTACTAGTCTATGAGGCCCAAGTCCTCCTCTTCCTAGTCCTCTCCGCCTAAACCCCCAAAACGGGCAAAACCGCACGCACGCACGCACGCACAGAGAAGAGTGGCGATTCCTCAAAACCTCAATTCACTTAGCCGTCTCTGCAATGGAATCACAACTACTCTCCACTTCACCTTCTACTTTCCACTTCCCCTCACCAAAGACCCTCTTCTCTAACAAAACCACACACAGAAACTCAAACTTTTCTTCCTTTACGTCCAAAAGAAAACTAGCGATCCAGGCTCAATTCATGGAGAAAGAGAACAAGTTGTGGGGAGGTAGATTCGAACAGACCGTGACTGATAAAGTAGAGAAATTCACCGAGTCAATCTCGTTTGACAAGGAGTTGTACAAGCATGACATTATGGGCAGCAAAGCTCATGCCTCCATGCTCGCAAAACAGGTCCCTTCTTGCTCTTGCATTGACAGTTTCTTGATTTCTTTCTTTAAGCAAGTGAATTGGGCTATTAAGCTTGTTATGCTTCTTTGTTTTTTGCAGGGGTTGATGAGCGAGAGTGATAAAGACAGTATTTTGAAAGGGCTTGATGAGATACAACGAAAGATTGAGGCTGGTGAGTTTGAGTGGAGGGAAGACAGGGAAGATGTGCATATGAATATTGAGGCAACGCTTACTGAGATGATTGGTGAACCTGCCAAGAAACTGCATACAGCGAGGAGTAGGAATGATCAAGTTTTGACTGATTTTAAACTGTGGTGTCGTGATGCTATTGATAGAATCGCTGCATCTATAAAAAATTTACAGGTTGCATTGGTGAAATTGGCTTTGAATAATGAAGGGCTCATTGTTCCAGGTTACACACATTTGCAAAGAGCGCAGCCTGTTTTGTTGCCGCATCTGCTCTTAGCCTATGTCGAACAGGTTTGATTGCCTTGTTGTTGTTGGTTGGTGGGGAACATTTTTGAATCTTTATGTCTATAAGAACCAGAACTCACTTGTGGGGTGCTTGCTGTGTTAACTGACGAGAACATTGAGACTTGCATGCTTGATCTGTCTACTATTAAAAAGCTTCAATTGGAAACTTTAGTAGTTACATTAAATATTGATTTGATGGTTGGTTTAGAATTTTAGGTGATTTTTTGGACATTTTAAATGATTGGTTTCTCTGGCAATGGTCAGAGATGGTGTTGTTACTGACCAAAACAGCCTTCTTTTTTCTTCTTTTTTTTTTCCTTTTCCCTGTAAATCAGTCTTGGTGCCTTCATAAGAATGAACACTGACTACAATTTTTTCTTGTAGCTTGAACGTGATGCTGGTCGCTTACTTGATTGTAAACTGAGGATGAATTCCTGCCCCCTGGGTGCATGTGCATTGGCTGGCACCGGTTTACCAATCGATAGGTTTATGACTTCTGAAGCTTTAGGATTCACTGCTCCCATGAGGAATAGGTAAGCACACATGTCTTTGATATTTTTTATACTCTGGGGTGTCAATTGGGAAGAAAGATGGTGATTGTCAGCTGACTACATAGTTGTCGTCAAGGCCATTTATATTGGTTTTTGACTGGCCCATTCAAGAATCTGGTCATTATTTCTTTCTCGTACATTATGAATTATATCTTTTTCTGTTTGTTGACGGCTGTGTGATGGCTTCCCTGGCTTATCTTCGTGATGACAAATTGCAAGATTTTGCCAAACATTGGAACCTTTTTCAATTTTATTTCTAGATTCTTTCTCAATTACTGTAATATTAGTCTTATGCTGTGTAGATAACTCCTTTTTTGAAGCAGCACTTTCATGCTTTCTGCTCTAGGTAAGATGTCAATTTTTGGCTCCTGAAAATGGGGCATGTAGGACCATCTGTGTGTGTTCTTATCTACTCTTTTATCTCTTATTTGCTTTTGAATTTCCCTCCCTTCTTGATACCTGGCTTCCTTGAGTAGTTGGTTATGTTTAATTTTTTTATCTAGCATTGATGCAGTTTCAGACCGAGATTTTATCATGGAGTTTCTTTCTGCTAATTCCATCACAGCAATTCATCTTTCTCGATTGGGTGAGGAATGGGTGTTGTGGGCCACGGAGGAGTTTGGATTTTTAACACCAAGTGATTCTGTTTCAACTGGAAGTAGTATTATGCCTCAAAAGAAAAACCCAGATCCCATGGAACTTGTCCGAGGAAAATCTGCTAGGGTCATAGGAGACCTGGTCACTCTTCTCACATTGTGCAAAGGGCTTCCACTTGCTTATAATCGTGATTTGCAGGTAGGCTCTTTTATAGATTTATTGGGTATCGATATAATAACATTTTTGGGGTGCCTCTTTATTATATCATGGGATACCAGACCATCTGCAGTTGTAGAGAGAAATTTAGCCTTTTTGCTCTTGAAGTTGAGATCAAGTTTACCTTTGGAATTGTGCACGCTTATCATTGTTTGATTTATTATGCAGATGCATGCTTCCATGCTTATCCTGATATTCATCCTTCCCTTCTCTTCCATTGATCTTTTACCAGTATTCGGATTTTGAATATATATATAAATTTTTTTTCATGGGACAGGAAGACAAGGAACCTGTATTTGACAGTGTTAAGACAGTTGTAGGGATGCTCGAAGTGTCAGCAGAGTTTGCACAGAACATCACTTTTAATCAGGAGAGAATTCAAAAGTCTCTGCCAGCCGGCCATCTTGATGCCACAACACTTGCTGATTATCTTGTCAATAAGGCAAGTTATTGTTATTGATTGACTTCTTTTTGTCATTTAAAATAAGTTTGAATTTCTTCTACTTCCATGTTTTCATCATGATTATGAGGAATGCAGCTACCTAATGAAAGCAATTTAATTCTTGGTTCAATACCAATTTATTTCTAGGCTTCTAAATTCCTAGAGTCTCCGAATTTTTTCTTCTGCATCATATTTAATTCTTGGTTCAATACCAGAAGTGTGGTGGTTCCTAGTTGTTTTGACAATTCTCCATTCACATATTTTTTCTATTCATTCCAATCCTTTTCGCACAAATTGTTCAAATTTTCAACTGCCTTATATGTCTTCTTTTTCTTTTTTGTAGGGACTGCCTTTCAGAACAGCCCATGAAATAGTTGGAACATGTGTTCATTTATGTGTTTCAAGGAACTTGCGGCTTGAAGATCTAACTCTTGATGATCTGAAACGTATAAACCCCGCCTTTCACCAAGATGTATATGAGTATCTTGGAGTAGAAAATGCAGTTAATAAATTCTGCTCGTATGGTTCCACCGGGTCCGCTTGTGTTGCAAGTCAGCTAGATTATTGGGTTACTAAACTCGAGATTAGCAAAATCTGAACTTGATAATGAACGTTGCAGCAGATCCTAGATGGGGCACTTTGCAAGATAATTGAAGCCAATTTTCAGGACCAGGAAAATCATGCAGTGGGCATCAGAGTTTAGCAGTTATAAATCCGTTTAAGATGCCAATAACAAGTGGGAAAAACCATTTGGCTAAATTTTGTTACTTTTGCATTAGAATTTTGTCCAACCCGTTGCTTGTTGTATTAGAAGAGTACATGGCATGAATTGATGTGGTTTTCCCATTGTAGTATATCAGTTTTTAACTGCTTCTAAATTTGTTAATAAAGTTTGATCAGCGGAAACTTTCATTAGATAGTAGGTCTTTTGAGTTATCAAAACGTCACCGGATAAGGAATAGTCCCGCCAATTGCTAGCATGTTCTTCAGGCACACACAAATAAAGTAATCGGGTTGTGGATGCTGGTTCCATGACTGTTGGATGAATCAGTGCAGGCGGCCTCTTAAGAAACTCCCCACCGTTGATGATTAGGCTATGTTTAATAATGTGCTAATGGACAGGCCAAATTTGTTTTTACATTGATAAATGATGTATCTGCTATCTGCAGCTGTGAACTTCAGCTATTAGCTTTCATTGATCCAAAATGCAATCTCTCAAAGCATGGTTCGCCTCCAGTTCAAACACAAATGCAGCTGGAAAACATCATTACAATCTATAGAAGTTGGGCTCACATCTGCCTATCTCAAAGCATAAGGGAGGGGTTCCTCAACCCAAACTAGCAAAAATTGAGTTCATGATGTGGCCACGAAATTCAAAAGACTCCACTTTCAGATTTGAACGCGCCCCCCATTATTCATGTATAAATTGTAAAGTCGAGGTTCCCTGTCCTTGGAGTAGAACACCAGGTATCTTCATAAAAATTCATCTGGCTACTGACCGCTTTGCCCCTCTTGTTAACTTCAAAGGGATATCTGCTAGGGCAACTTTTTCCATTTTCCTCGGGCCTTCAGCATTTTCTGGCAGCGAGCAAGATTGAGAAGTGGTGTCGAGCTGCAGCGCTGATTTCTGCTTTCTTGTTTTCTTGACAGGTTTTATAGGGCTTGAATTCATCTGTAAGGATTCAAATTTTTGTTACAAAGCAATGGAAAAGGTCAAAACTAAAAGTAAAGTACTGATACAGCTGATTACACTTCGAATCTTATAACAAAATATTAAGAACATTGAAGGGGAAGTGACTGAAAGAAAAATAATTGCCGACTTCAATTTTCAAAACATTACTGTTACCAAAACTGAAAAAATATCAAATGGAAAAGGTTGGCTCAAAAACAAGAACAGTTAAATGTTAAAGTGAAGCTTACCTGCGCATTCCCAATTTCATGCAAAGGTTTCCTTAGAGGTTGAAGATCATTATTCAAGTCAGCAGATTGAGACATGATAACATCTTTTCCTGTCTCGGATGAACTGGATACGTGCAACTTTTGAGCTACCTCTGATTGTTGGGAGTCATCCGCCTTGCTTGAGACTTTTCTATTGGTGCACTTCAATGCTGCACACCCACAACATGCCCCACAGCTTCCTCCAGCAGCCCGACATTCACATTTTGTTGTCTTGCAGAGGGATTTCTTGCTGCACGAGCAGCAAACACCTGATGCAGATTTCCCCATGACAGCAGTATTTCCTCCTGAACCTTCTGATTCATATGTATCCGTTCCTGATAGCTCAATACTACTTCCGACTGAAAAAGAGGACTGGACCACACCTACCTGATCAAAAAATGCCACCTCTACATTAGATCCAAATTTTCTGGCCTTTCTGCATAGACTAATTTGCTTTTACTGAGAAAGATTCTAACTAATCAAAGCTTCCTTTGTACAATTCAAGCTCAAAAGATCAAGTAAAAGCAGGACATGGAAACAGCCAGCCAGATGCTCTTACCTGTGGGTTCCTTGAATTAACTTGTGCCTTGGCCATTCCCAGTCGACTGACCAAACTACTTAACCTGGTAACTTCTTCTTTCAAGTCCCTTAACTCGCTATCCCTCACTGTGCATTCAACTTCCTTATCCTGCAACAGGCACCTTAAAGAACACAGAAAGAACAAGTTCAATCAAAGGCATACTGATCACATGTACGAGTACAGAGGAAAGAAAACTGTAAATTGAGGGAAAACGTGTTCAGCAACTAAACACACCTGTAATTTTCAAGCCTTAGCTTCTCTGCTTCTTCCTCAAACTTTCTGACCTCACAATCCATCCTAAAGAAATTTGATGGAACCACTTTGTATCAATTGATGATGAGAATGGAAGAAATCAACACTAAGTTTGAAACTAATAAGATAACATGAAGATCAATATCAGGTATGACAATAAAAACTTTGTTAGAAAACCACAAAGTAAAAAATTTACAAACATTGACACGAAAAAATGTATGAGGATGAAAGGGTGAGCCATTTAGCATTGAATAGAGTACGAGGACTTACTCTTCCATTTGACGTTCATATTCAGAACGTATTTCCTCCACCCGTGCTGCAACTTTAAGCTCAAGCTCAATACCCTACACGATGGCATCTCAAGAGATATATAAATTAAAAAAGCCAAAGCATAAATAAATGAACCTATTTTCAGCATAAAAAAAAAAAGGCTCACTCATATCTAAAAAGTGCAGTAACAAATAATAACGATTTTTGTCCCTTAATTCACAGCTGGAAATGAAAAAACTATAGCAGAGTTTAACCCAGAGTGCAAACCCTATACTTCAATGTGACCTTTCAAATCAAACCACGATAGCAAAAGGCATTTATGAGCAGAAATTAGATAGCTTCAATGAGCGATATCAATCAATTGTTGGTGTTTTGTTAGAAAATAATATAAATCATATCTTGGAACCTCATCTAATAGCTTAAGCTTTTAGGTGAGATGGTTCTTTGACATGGTATCAGAGCCTTGATGACCAAGCGGTCACGAGTTCGAATCTCACTATTCCTATTTATTTGATAAGCACAAGGTAATATGAGTCTGTGCAAATTTCAAGCCCAAAGGGCTTTCACTTGAAAGAGTGTGTTAGAGAATAATATAAATCATATCTTGGAACCTCATCTAATAGCTTAAGCTTTTAGGTGAGATGGTTCTTTGACATGTTTAGAATATGAATATGAAATGAGAATTATTTCAATTCTATCAATTCATAGACTTAAAAGGTGTTATTCACCAGAGGTATGTCCAGACAGTCACCATGATATCATTGGGCTAGAAGGAATTCACCCATGAGAATAAATCTATGTGCAACTGTCATCCCAAACACCACCACTAAACATGCACATAAATACACATTCTGTAGAGCACCTCGTCATTTACAAATCAGTATGTTCACAGATGCACAGGCACACACAATCTAGTCATGCTCATCATCAGTACCTGGCTTCCTGCATTGTTGCCAGCTTTAACGCCTGTACAAGATTTCGGAATAAACAAAAAGTCAATGAATTATACTATTAAACAAATCAAACGTGAATTGTATGAAGCACTGGAACCACTTACCAGAATTTTTTTGAGAAAAAGCCTTTCGAGATTCTAATATACACTTCAGCCGTTTAGCTGCCATTGAAGCTTCCTCTGTCTTTCGTTGTAATACCTAGTGTTGAAGCACAAGAATCAAGAAAAATGACTCTCTAGAAGTTATTCATGAAAAAAAGATAAATGGACCAGAATGATTCTAACAGATGTTTATTAAGGAGTATAAATATTATTAATTAAAAAAAAAGTGTTTTGGGGAACATAGAAACATTGAAAGAAGAATGAAATTACCAGCTTTTGTCTCTGGTTCAAAGCCAACAGCTTACGCATTTCGTACTGGTTCCTTCTTTGCTCTTTCTTCATCTGTTGATATGGAAACTCAATACATTAATGCCATACCTCCCTAAACACAAAAGTTTGCATTCCCAAGCTACAAGATGCTACAAACTAATTAAACGCAAAAATAGCTCCCTTACAGTAACCACAGACCTGAAGAACTTCTCTTTCCAGCGAAGCTTTTGATAGCCTGAATTGCACGGAGTCTAACTTCATCTTACATAGGAGTTGAACCTTGTGCAGTGAAATAAAAAAAAAAAAAAAAGCAAATTTAGTGAAACAAGCAAGTTTTACATCCTGACAAATTAATTTGCCAAGGCATGCTCCAACTATAGCAACAACAAAAAATCACCTTCTGAGCCTTTAATCTCTGAATCTCATCCGGTCTCCCTGATTCACCATTCTTTTGTTTTAGCTTTGATAACTGAGAATGTGCATTTAGTTTCTTCTTCAATTCCATGACCTGAAAATGGCACAATATTTGTTACAGATATGCTAGTGCGAATATCATAATGTGACTTAAAACCCACCTGTTCTTCAAGGTTTCGTAATTTCTGGATGTCATCTTGTTTCCTTTTTCCAACACTGCCACAAACGGAAATCGGTGACGAAATTTTAGCACCATCCTTTTCCTTCAATTCCTCAATCTCCCTCTGCCGATTCGTGAGCAAAATAAAAAAAACTTTAACCCTTAATTTTTCCCGTTTCCACTGAATCAATTGACTAAAATACTAATAAGACCAAGCCAATAGTAAATTCCCTTAGTTTGAAATTTCAAATTTCCAACATCCTTATTTGAAAAAATATTTACAAGATTCTAATATCTTTTCGTTTCCTACAACTTCTAAGGAGACAAACAGATTTAAATTTAAAAAAAAAAAACAGTAAAGTAAATGTCCAAATAATCGGCAAATCAGAAGCACGTGGTGTTAGTTTTTGAAACCGAGAGTTACCTTAAGAGCTTCGTTTTCTTTCTCCAAGTCGTGAACTCTCTTGTCGCAATCCTGGTTCTGTTTTGGTTGGTCACTTTCGTCTTTAGATGGAGAAGAGGAATCGGCAATGCTTGATCGCTTCGATCTGCGATTTCCCTTCTTCATTTTAAGCGCCGATTATCTGATCGAATTGATGCAATCGTCTCTCCCTCGACGGCTGATTCTTGGCAAGTGAAGCTGCGAGGATTCAGAAGAGCGTCTTTATTTTTGAATTTGATTTGGTTTCCCTCTTCCACTTGTATTATTATGTTATAAAAACACTAAGAGCCTCTTTCTCTTTACGGGCACACAGATTTTAAAAAACAATTAAATTAAATTATTTTATATATATTTTTTAATTATTTTAATATGCTAATATTAAAAATAAATTTTAAAAAATAAAAAACACTATCTAAAACATGTTAAAACATGTGGCTTTTTTCTTTTTGCAAATGGATACTGCTTAAGCAAACACAAAATACTATAGACTGACTTATTGTTTGTTATTTAATAATTCATTTTGATTCTTAAAGCTTAAAGTTTTATTTTGAAAGATTTCATCCTAATTGAAAATTAATTGCTTTTGATTTTTTAGGTAGGAGTGGAACTAAAAAAAAAAGAGATTGAAATGAAAAAAAAAAAAGATCAAATATGGGTGGTGTGATAGATTTCATGAAAAATACACTTAGGTTTTTAATCTTAGAAAATAACACAATTTAAATAATTTAGATCCTTTTAAATTTCAAAAAAAATTATTTTTGATACAAAAATTTATTTGTATTATTTTTCAATCTATTATTAGAGAAGAGGGTCACAGAATTCTAACAACATAAGAGAAATTTGCTATTCAAGCTATTTTCAACCAAAATGGATTTTTTTTATTTTCGTGAATTTCATGAAATAAGATAGGTTTGTTAACAACCAAAATGGATTTTTTTTATTTCCGTGAATTTCATGAAATAAGATAGGTTTGATTATGGTGCTTTAAAGTCTCAATATTGCTTCAAAAACATATTTAAGTTGGGAAAGATAAATCAAACTTGATTTGAGTTTAGGTTTTTGGACATTTCTCAAGTTTTTTGGGTTGGTTTCGTGGTTTTTGTATTTATATTTTAAAAAATAGAGGTGAATGATAAGTTTTATAAGTTGTTTATCTTTTTAAAAAATATAAAAACAAAGTTATAAATCAAGCCCAAACGCATAAGCGGGGACTTGAAGGCTCAATCATGTATCTAGGTCTTTTCTTGTAATGACCCACACCCTTTTTTGTTTCTTTTATTTATATATATTTAGGTTAAGTATAAATTTAAGAGAAAATATTATTTAATCTGGTTGAGTTAGTGACATGGATCACAAGTTTGACAAATTAAGTCATGATACTCAATCTATTTTTTTAATTTATCTTTTTTTAATTGAAACTTGTTTTTAATTTCCTTTTAAAATAATTTTTAAATTTTTATTTCAATTAATATCACTCATTTGTGATTTTTTTTTACTTATTTAACATTTTTTGATAAATATATTTTAAAAAAATATTTTGTGTGTATGTAATTTTTGAAGAGATTTTTCTATTCATCCCTAATTTTTTTTTATCTTTTTGTATAAATGAATTTTATTTTTTAAAATAATTTTTTTATTTTCATATAATATTTATAATATATGAAACATTGCATAATATTTTTTTTATTTTTTATTTTATTCAAACAATTTATTATGTATGTCTATCTTTTTTTATTGTTTGATTAAATAAAAAATTTATTTAAAAAAAATTATAAACACAACTTAATATATTTTTTATCTTACGAGATTAAATATCTTGATCTATATCTGTATCTCTATCTTTCTAGGTTTATTTTTAGTTATCATTAATGATTTTTTTATTTATTAAAAAATATAGTTTTTGATTTATTTAATTACATATATGTATAATATTTTTTATTTTCACTTAATTTTTTTTTAATTACAAAGTATGTCAAAACAATATGTGAATAGAATTTTTTTATATAAAAAAATATTTAACTCGTGATGAATGATAATTTAAATAACTAGTTTTATTACAAATGTAAAAATAAAATGTACTCTCTCTCTTTACTTGGGATGCCACCACGTTTTCCTCTATAAAAAATTTCTACCATTTTATTTGTGTCTCAATTACTATTTACTGCCATGTTTGCGCTCAAGATGGAGTTGTTTTATATATGTTTGTGTATTTGGAATTTCATGAAACATGAGAACTTTGTAAAAATTATAAATTCATACATAGAATAAAGCATGTGTAACAAAATTAGGATTCTTTATCTCATTGAAAATTTTGAACACTAAAAAAAACATGGTTTTAAGAAATAAATTAGGAAAATCATTTTCCAATTAATAAAAATATTTTTTTAAAAGAATAATATGACCGATTTGTGTTGAATTACATGATTTAAATAGATTGTGAAAAAGAAGAAGCAGGAGTTGAGGTTTATTATCGTGTTTTCGGTTTTTTGTTTTTAAAAACCAATGTTATAAAAAATATATAAAGCCAACAATTCATTGTTAAAGAAATTTAATTGTTTTTTCCTACTTTGTTTGGAAGTAGAAAACGATACCGAACAACTTAATCCTTTTTCCATTTGTTAAAACGTGCTTAAATTTCTATCCATGGCATCAAATGTTCAGAGAAGCGAGGTGAACTTTTCAATGGACCAATGAAATATGAATCTGTATCGACATTAACAAAGAGCAAAGCATCACATCGGAGAGACAGATATGAATTCCTAATCTAAATCTGTCTTGTTTGATTTCTAGAAAGAAATCAATTACCCAGACCATCGGAGTACACAATCAAGGTAACAATAGAGCTCCATGTCCACCCTCCATTTTTTCCAAACAAATTCATCCAAAAAATAATCTTAACGGTACTGGTATACATGTTAACGGCCGTAGTTCTCTTTCTCATCGGATGTTCTTTTCGGTCGGGCAGGGCTTCTGGTAGGAAGCACACCGGTCTCTTTATTTATTGATTCTTCTGCTTGATCAGCATTCCTGTCTCTCAGAATGATGCCACCGTGTGAAGCTGATCTCATAGCCCTCGGTAGCCTCAAAGGAATTTGTGCCTCACTTGCACTGTTATCTGTTTCACTTACAGTGTTCGGTGCAGCCGATCGCATAGCCCTAGGTAACTTCAAAGGAATGTCTGCTTCGCTTGCACCATTATCATCAGCCTTTAGGAGGGCAGCTTCAGTGTTTTCTGATCTTGCGGTGGGTGGAGGAACAGGAACAAGCTGAATTACTGATTTGCGCCATTTCTTTCTCTGGTTTCCGTTTGGTGCATTGGATTTGGCCTGCAGGAGATATGAATTAAAAGATATATAAAAAAAAAAAAAAGACGAAAACCAATGAGAGTTGATAATGAACTCGAGCCGAAAAAAGAAAACCAATTTGCATCAATGAATATGCAAAAAAAAGAATCACCAATTGATTACTTCAAAACGAGCATACCATCGTGTTGCCTATATCGGACAGAGGCTTCCTTCCCACCACACTATCATCACTTGTTTCTCTAGGCTTCTCAACCAGGGCACTTTCTAGTAACATGGCACCATGAGAAGCAAGGACCTGATTGTTTTCTGTTTCATTAGATCCAAGTTCCGAATCTGGAATTGTAGCAGCTCCTCTATTAGAACATTTATTTGGCATGCAGCCACACGATATCCCACAACAACCCCCAGATGCTCGACACTGGCACTTGGATGTCTTGCATAATGAGTATTTACTACAAGCACAACATACTGGAACAGCAGTGGCTGCCTCACCAGAACAATCTGACTTGGAGTTTTCAGGATCATGGATGTCTCCTGTACTGGAACGGGCTTTGTTTTTAAAATTTATTTTCTTTCTCTGCCGCTTCCCTGACATTACCCATTCATCGTCAGTCGCCTCTTTCTCTGATTGTACCCATTCATCATCCATCGAATCATTATCTGAATGTTCTGATTCAGATGTATCCATATCATCCAATATGATTGGGGTGCTTTGTTGTGTCTGAACAAACAAACAAACAAACCGAAAAATAAAGAAAAGGGCTATGAGATTAGGGAATAGCGAAGAATTCATTTGTAAGACTATCCAGCAAAACAAGCTTATATATCTATAAATATACCTGTCTATGCATGTCGAGCTTGCATCCTTCAGAATCGACCTCACTTTTGGTGGAGTATTTTTTCAATGCTGAACTCTGTTAATAGATCATGCAATCAGTATTTGATAAATTGAGAAATTGTTCAAACAAAATAGAAATAGGAAGATGAAGACAGAATTTTCCTAGCAAGCCTTGTAATTAGCTACCATCTGATTCTTTTTCGAAGATTAAAGATGTCTTACGAATGACGGAATACCATTTGTAAACGAGGGCACTTCACATCTAAATCCTTGAGTAGGAATGCGTGTTTGAAATAGGAAGTTGAAGACAGAATTTTCTAGGTTCGAAACATCTACCAAATTTTACAAAATCCAAGGCGCCAAATGCAATATTAACGAGATTCAAACAAGAAATATTCATTAAAAAAACTACAAAAATAACTGATGACCTCCAATTGTCCATAAAAACATCCCATTATATACTAGCAAATCTTGTAATTTGTTTCCATCTAATTCTTTTGCAAAGATGGAATCTTTCTTCAGAATGACTGAATACCAATCTGTAAACAGGGAAACTTACATCTAAATCATTTTGCAAGCAAAGATAGCGTGTATCCTCGTGTGTGGGAATATGTGTTTGGTCATATGACAATTTCTAATGATGCAAGTCAAAGTTACTAGCAAAACCCCCCTAAAATCCTATTTACCAGAAAACGTTGCTTCCATCTATCTTATCTCGGGTAGCAAACCTTTCAGCCTTGCATTAGGTATCCACTTCTCCCCTTTCCCCAATTTAACAAGTGAATGAAAGCAATACAAGTCATCAAAGAATTATCATCGGATCATTTTAAAGCAATCAATCGAATCATTTCCACCTTACATGCATTTGGATGTAAGATAAAACTATAGTATCCGTACCAATCCGGTTGACGTCAGTAATGCATTATTATATATCCTTAGACCACACACAATTAATTAACAAAAACAAAAACAGATGATAGTTTTATTGTCAACTACCTCACATAATACTGTTTATTAATTTATTATTTGTTGTAATGATATATATATATATATGTGTGTGTGTGTGTGTGCGTGTGTTTTCTTAACTAATTTTATCATTC